CTTAGATTCAAAAGAAAGCCTGACTTCTATTGCACATAATATTCAAAACTTATTTATAGTTAATATTTAGTATATTGATTTTAAATCACAATTTTGTTGACGCATTTTAATAATAATATTAAATATCTCTTTACATTTCTCTTCTCTTTTTTTGACAAGTCGGAACATTTTCGGGGGCTAGGGAGAACCTTCTGCCAATGTGGTTAATTTTTAAAAACTTTCGGGAAATAGTTAAATGCTTTTGGGAACGAATTTGCTTTTAAGCGATAATTAACACAGTTAAAGGACATTACAAGCCAGTCAAAGTCTCCTCTTGGTTTGGTATATTATTGTTGCTTGCTCATATTATCTAATTATTTTAATCGTTATTATTTATGTAGGAATAAAATGTAAAAAAAAACTTTAAACTACAAATATTCATAACAGTATAATTATTTGCATTTATGCTTGAATTTGGATGCGTCAAAAAATTTTATTATTTTACAACTTGCGAGAAATGTCATGCGACTAATTAATTAATAATATTATATTAGTATGTTTCAATCAAGTTACAGTTAACGAGTAAAATGCTTTGTAAGGAAAAAAAATGCCAGTTTTTATTTGCGAGTTTATAGTTAATAATATTCCAGAACTATAAAATCTTATTCTCACATTCCAGATTTACAAATTTCCCTATATTAACATAAATGACATCATGGAAAAAATCCGGATTGCCTACTCAACTGGTTGCTGCTTTTATGAAATAAACTGAACATTTACGGAGTGATAAACATGATCACGAAGATATAATGGAAATGTTTTGAAGTGTTATTTTTTACAGGGGAGTAGTTTATTTTTTGGGAATACGTTCTTATTCTAATATTAATCCTTGTTTGATTGCAGTAGATGATGAAACATTTTTAATTTATAATCATTTTAGTCAATCAAGTACATAAAACTTCTTTTTAAATATTTTTAATCGATAAAGATAATTTCATATGTCCTCGGCTATTTTGATTCGCATTATTAATAATTTTAAAATGTGTTCGGGAAAATCGATTCGCATTAATATGATTTGTCATTTGATTTGGCGGTCACATCCAATAGAGTTTCCCAGTCCTGTTGACACGATTGAATTTTTTTTTTTCTTGGAAAAACAATTTATTTTTTGACAGAGTCCAAGGTGACAAAACGCGAGCGTTGTTGTTTGGTTCCCCTAAAGAGGACGTGCTAATAACTAACCAGAGGTACTTTTTTTTTACTTGTATTGATATAATGTGGTTTCTTTTGGTTTATATATATTATAATGGGAATCAAAACGCAGAGCAGATCATTTCTGGGTAATTATAAGATCCTTGTCAAGATGATAACGAATGAACGATTGATATTTTGCTTTTTGTAATCAATAATATTAATAATAAATAATAATAAATATTTAATTAGAAGTCAAGGCAAGCACGACCGAAACAATTCACGCTTCGAATATGCAATGTTTGATTATCGAAAATTGACAGATGTGAAGCACGCACGCTGCCTTGAACACTTTACAGTCATTCACTTGTTCCTCATGTACAAAGGCTAATCTGACCAAGATTACCCCGATGATACATTGATGCAACTAAATTTTCAGGGGGGAACATTCATAATAATTATTAATGAAACTTTAATCAATATAAAACAATCACTAATAAAATACCTTTTAGTTTTTGCTGAATCCCATCTACATAAATTCTTCATGACTATTAAATTTCTATAAAATAGTTTTTCGTGAACCTCTCTAAAACTTATTAACCAATAATCCCCATAATTTAATGACCATATGAAAGCTTAAAGCATTTCTACACCTTCTCATTTACTATCAAGTCTTTTAAAGCAATATTCTGAGCTTTGAAGTGAAAAAGTAATACCGTTTTTGAATAGCCGTGAATTCATCTAGAGAAGACCTTTCTATATGAAAGAGTATTAATTAGAAAGCTTTAGTGGGGTACTTTCATTTTACTCTAACAACGAAGTTCGAGTTTATTATAAAAATAACGAGATATTTTAAAAAAACTTCATGTGACACGAATTTCGCAATTTATTTTCACATCAATTGCGAATTCTTAATATTAATGTATTAGTATCCAATTAAACCGTTTAATATTCGTTTAATAATTCTTTATTCCTTGTTTTTCATTTTATTGTTTGTATTATTTTTATTATTTTTTTATTATTAATAAATTATAAATAGGACCAGGAAAACTCTATTGAATGTGACCGCCAACACTATGATTCGAAAGTATTTTTTTAAAAAAAATGTGACCGCCTCACCATAGATTCGCAGATAGAAAATGGAAAATGTCACCGCTTTTATATTATTCGAAGAAAAAAATGTTATCGGTTACACTGATTCGTAGACATAAAAAAATAAAAAAAGTCATCGGTTACACTTGATTCGCATTATTAATAAAAAATGTTATTATTATTAATTGCATGTAACGCTTGCAATTGAATCTATTAAGAAACAATTTTTTCGCCAAATATGGTGAAAACGTTGATCGCCAAAAGCCGAAAAAACCAAGCGCAAAAGGCGAGAAACCTGTACGAAGGTCGCTCGTCTTACTGATTTTGGAGGGTGGTCGTGACACGGAAAGCTTTTCTTTCTTTTATATATGTTAAAAAAAATAAAATAATACCGATGAAAAATTTAAAAAAACACCAATAATAAAATTAAAAAATTTAAAATGAAAAATCATAATAAAAATAATAAAAAAAAATCCTTGTGATTCACGCCAAAAACGTTTTACTACATACCCTAACTTTCAAGAATTTGTCAATGCTAAAAAAGTTATTTGTAAATGTGGTCAAATTATTTCACTTGGAGTCAATCATCAAGTGTTTGGGCAAAATCATTATGTTTTATGAAAAATGTGGGCAAGGACATTCATGGGTAGAAAAGCCTGCAGGATTTTTAGATCATTTATCATATATTTCTATTAAGGCCTATCTCCCTGTATCACGATAGTATTTTTCATGTGAAAATTTGGCAGGAGGAGGAGACATTACAATTCATATTACACCACGAGAAGTAGTTTATTTTTGGGAATGCGTTCTTATTCTAATATTAATCCTTGTTTGATTGCAGTAGATGATGAAACATTTTTAATTTATAATCATTTTAGTCAATCAAGTACATAAAACTTCTTTTTAAATATTTTTAATCGATAAAGATAATTTCATATGTCCTCGGCTATTTTGATTCGCATTATTAATAATTTTAAAATGTGTTCGGGAAAATCGATTCGCATTAATATGATTTGTCATTTGATTTGGCGGTCACATCCAATAGAGTTTCCCAGTCCTGTTGACACGATTGAATTTTTTTTTTTCTTGGAAAAACAATTTATTTTTTGACAGAGTCCAAGGTGACAAAACGCGAGCGTTGTTGTTTGGTTCCCCTAAAGAGGACGTGCTAATAACTAACCAGAGGTACTTTTTTTTTACTTGTATTGATATAATGTGGTTTCTTTTGGTTTATATATATTATAATGGGAATCAAAACGCAGAGCAGATCATTTCTGGGTAATTATAAGATCCTTGTCAAGATGATAACGAATGAACGATTGATATTTTGCTTTTTGTAATCAATAATATTAATAATAAATAATAATAAATATTTAATTAGAAGTCAAGGCAAGCACGACCGAAACAATTCACGCTTCGAATATGCAATGTTTGATTATCGAAAATTGACAGATGTGAAGCACGCACGCTGCCTTGAACACTTTACAGTCATTCACTTGTTCCTCATGTACGAAGGCTAATCTGGCCAAGATTACCCCGATGATACATTGATGCAACTAAATTTTCAGGGGGGAACATGGCCCTGGAGTTTACCATGACTGCACCAATCGTCAAGGATGTTTTCACTAATCTTCCCTCACCAGAGATGGCCGCTGGCATGCTAGCCAAAAAGTTACCTGCAACGATCCTACCTCTGGGTAAGGCTGGCGCTGTGTCCAAGTCGTATTTTGAAGAGTTGTGATATTAGGTGAGATCATCAAAGCAACGAGAATCTGCAATTCGTTCCAAGCTCAGGAGGTCGCAATTCAGAGCAGGGTTGGTGGCCCTGAAATTGCATTTGGACTCTGATGTTAAGAGGAAAGTTATAAAATAGTGTTTGTTTTGTATAATCATTTTCCTAAATTCCTGTTTCTTTGATACTAACCAATTTATAATTTTGGGTAAGGGACTGAATTGGGTTTTGCCCAATCAGTCCCTTGTCCTGTAAATTAAAATTATTGCATGATTATATACATCTTTGTCAGCAATATGGCCATCAAGAAAAATGGTTCAGATTTTGTTTGGTATGTTATATAAATTAATC